CTCACCCACACCCACACCCACACCCACACCCACACCCACACCCACACCCACACCCACACCCACACCCACACCTACACCCACACCCAACACCCACACCCAGAATTAGTTCTACCATTTCTGCATCGAATGTTAAATTTAGAAAAACTTAGTTTGTATCTTTTTGTTCCTAACAGAAAAACATTCATTGATGGAATTGAATTGAAGGAAAATCTTATCCATCATATGTTACGTTTAAACAAATTTATATTTAGTATTTGCACACTGATGCTTCCTTATAATCGGATTGATTTACGATCAAATGAAGATATTCAACATACATTCAATCATTTTCAAGATGGTCAAATTATTTCTTGTATTGATTGTTTCTAAGAAATAAGACAATATCGTCAATGTCATATTTATTCATATCCATATAAATTCAAAATTTACAAAAATATTACAAATAATTTTTAAGGTGGATTATATAAATGTGCTCGGGAAATATTATTAATGGATGAACGACCTTTTGAACATGAATTTTTTCTTCGAATTGCTCAATCATTTCCGTTGATGGAAAAATTAAAGGTAGTTAATGAGACGCCACAAAAGAACAAATTATGTAGTCAATCAAAACACGATAATCAAGATTTATCAATTATTAAATATCCTCATCTTAATGACCTTATACCTTATGAAGTTCATGATGATTATATCGAACAATTTCTAGTTGATGCGAAAATGTGTTTGCTGAATCATGTTAATCTTTCTATCGAATATGAACCACTTAAAAGAGTGACACATAATTTTACAAGAAATGCAACACGATCTAATTGTGCAAAATTGAATTCTTTATATTTGAATGGTAAACATCGAGCTCGTAAAGTTCTAAAAACGTATTTTCCTCACGCAGAAATATTGTAATTATTGTCAGTTGTTGTTTAAATAGAGTTGATTTATGTAGAATTTAAATATTAAAATAAAGAAGAAACTTGTTTTATATTTGATCAAAAAGAATCAATCAATGTACATTTCAAAATGATTACACATAATGCCCGTCTTCCATGAGAAAGTTGGTCTAGGCTAACTTTTCTCGGTTTTGGTCAAACTTAACACTATCTGATACTTAAAGATTTTAGACTATGCTCTTTCCTTTGTTCTAAATGTTAGGAAGTAGGTTTTCTGAACAACAAAGAAACGACATAGCATTCCTAATTACATTACTGTAATCAGCAAAAACGGGCTACATTTTGAATAAAAATTTAAGCTTCCAGCTCTGAATTTAACAAGCATCGTAGGGTAAAATCATAAATTTGCCGCTTCCTCGGATTTCACTTTCAATACGATAGAAAGAGAGAGTATGCAATTCTGCACATTTCTGTCTATTTATTTTGTTTTTGATTGAATCAAAAACAATTTTCGGAAGACTAAATAGTTTTAGCAGTATATCACTTTGGAATATTTTGAACAACTGTCGTATTCAGAAATTTGTATTTTATAAAATCGTAACTATGACTAAACATAACTATCTTGAACATTTGTTTTTGTATTGTTATGAATGCGTGCAGGATGATCACACTCACATACAACACAAACGGAAGCGAATAGCAGTAGTAGAAACGCCTCATCTCGTCGATAAAATAAAAAGATTAGAGTAATATTCTTTATATTTATGTGTTGCTGTTTGAATTTTGATTGTGTTCAACTGGTAAAGATTTGAATATAGTTGTATAAGTGTACCCAGTATATGTTTTTCAATACTGACGAATATCTATTCGAGATTAGAAGAATAATCATAAACATTCAATGCACACATTTTCGCTGAGAAAATTCATTAATGATAGTCCATACTACTAAAATAAAAGTAATAATAAGGAGATTAGAAGGACTTGAACGAATATTGTTGATTGAAGAATTATTTGTAGGTGTATTGTGAATAGTGAATATTAAATGTTTCTTCTAGTGAAATAAGAAAATCAAGTCATTTTTGACGCATTTCTATGATATTTTTTGCTTGATTCCTGGTTGCCATTAGGTTTGGAACACGTTCTAATTGTGTTCGAAGACAATCCGTGAAGAAAACATCTAATTGAAAAAAATCCTCGTAAACCATATTTAACTACATCAGAATGTTGAAAAAATTCTTCTGTGATATTCTTTCGTCCTTCTTCGCTTTTCTCTTCACAATGAATTATAATTAGGATAAAAAATTTTCTTGATTCTGGACAATGTTTTTGAATAAATATCATTGATTAAATATCTTCTATATTGATACCAATACAACTGCTGAAGACAAAGATAAATGCATGAGTATAAGATATATCTTTTATAATGCATTGATCAAGATAGTTTTTCAGCGTTTCATTCGTTAGATGTTCACCTTCGTTTCGCATAGAATCATATAAACCTGGTGAATCAATGATATTAAAGACACAAGCATTGTCTCTATCAGTTGTAGTAATTCGATTGAAAGTTATATTTCGAGTACCAGCGAAGAGACAAGCTAATTGAGGTATATGAAAAGGATTTTGTAGCATATTGCAAATAGTAGATTTGCCAGTGTGTATTCTTCCGATGATTACGAGATTGCGATAAGTGCATGGGGAAAATGGATATTTATTTCGTTTGCTCATCTCTGGGGTTAGTTTGCTAATCATTTGAGCACAATTCATTGTGGATTCTTTACCGGTTGAAACTATGATATATGATTTATATAGAAAAGATAATGAGAATATCTATTTACCTTGTTGATGATTCTTACTTTGATTACCATTTTTGGTATTCGATTCTCGTGTTTGACAGTTTGAAAATAATGAACGTACAATAAGTTCTGGATACTTGTTAGGATGATTCTCTTGAGTAGAAACAATATAGGTATAAGTTCTTCTCTTCAATAAAACTCTTGTTGTTGTTATTAGAATGTCATATTTTCTCATTTGTTTATATTTAATAGTTCGCTCACATTTAAAATAACTTTAAATAACACATGATACAGAAGAAAGACGTAGATAGAAATAGTTGAACCAGCACATAAGATTACCAACGTTAAAAGAGAGAGCGAACAAGGATCATAAATTGAAGAAAAGTTTTTCTTGTTGATTATATTTTTTTTTGAGAAGATGTTGAACTATATATTTAATTCAAGAGGTTCTTTGATTTATTTTACGGGAAGTACTAATGTTGATGTATCTGAATATATTTCTAAATGAACATTATCAGATAGAGTACAATTCTTTCTCTTACCCATGTAAATATTTTTTCGATAAAAACGCGTCTCCAGTGAAACATTTCCTGCGTCTAGACGCGGTTGAGGAAAATCATGGCTAGACGCGGTTGGACAAAATCACGTCCAGACGCGTGCAATTCGATATTCAAAAAATTGTTAAAAAATATCACAATCTGTCTCAGGTTTGATCTGAATCGTCATCGATATTCTCTAACGATGGTCTTTACCTCACTATAGACCAACGGACTGTTGAAAGGTTGATGTATTGAAATGATAGAAATGAGATTAGAACAAGTGAACTAGCGATTTAGAAGCAACTATACGTACCGTGAAGCCACATGTGACCACAATCGTTGTTGAATGACACAAAAAGTATATGTTAATCGTGAATCTATATCTATATCTATCTTATGTACAAATGCATGTATCAATAGAACGTGGTCTGTATAAATTATATTTTAATTATTAATATTTATATTCTTATGTGGAAATATACTGGCATAAAATAGACTATATATATCAAATTTTTTTTCAATTTTTGGAAACTTTTTCTTTTTCAAATAAATTTCATTTGTATTTTTTCTATAAGATCATTATTTATAATATTAAACACAGTCGACTTTTTATTATTTATTATATTATTATTATATTTTATCAAATAGCATGTACTTTTTCGTCTTTTTTTAAAATTATGTAATAAAAGCATTAAAAAGAACTTTCAATGATAATTTCATAAACTAAAATACATAAATTAAATTAGTTTTTCGAAAAAATCTGAACCGAAGTTGCTTATCATCGAAAAAAAAACAATCTTCTTTTTGATGACAAGTTATCAAGAGATTAACTTTTTATCAATACATTGGTACTGGCATCAGGGGTGCAGCCAGCGGAGGGGTTAACAGGGTGCCCGGGCACCCCTTGACCAAAAAAGAGCCTAGAGGGAAGTAAGGATAAAAGATCCTTCTGAGAAATAGAAATTTATTTTTGCTGCTGACGTCTATCCTCATAATGAATCGGCACCTCCATTGGGAAATTTATGGCTACGCCACTGATTGTCACTGATATAACTATTTTTTTGTATTATGCAGAACAAATATAGCAAACACATGAAAAGATACATTAATGTATATGATGCACTAATTATTAGGACAAATAAAAAAGTCATGAAAAAGAAATCGAATATTGTTGAGCAATTAACAGTTTTCAAATAAGATTTATCTTATAGGTATTGGTTGGTCAAAAATTTTCTAATGGGAATAATATTCATGCATGTCTTTTATTGGAGCTTTCAAATATGAATAAATAAAATATACAAGTTTATATGATGTGTTATAATTTTTCTTTTTGTCAATGAGTTTTCATTATATAAAACGATACTCAGATGATGATATATTAACGAAATAGTTGGAAATCGAGATGCAGAATTGGTTTTATATATCTAGAATATACATTCGAACATAAAATATGAACACTGATGATACATGAAAATGATATTTGTTTAATTAGTAAGCAATTGATGACGAGAAGGTACAACCATGTTTATCTATCCAATATATAAAATACTAGAAATGGTTTAATTTAATACTTTAAGTCGAATACAAACACACAGATAGTATTCAAAATTTTCAACACATAATTCTCTTTTTAATGATACCGAAAAGTTTTTGGTTAACGGCTTTGTATTTATAGAAGAATGTGTATCTTGAAAACTTATGAATCTAAGGAGACATTTAAAAGCAATATATAACATCAATCACTCGTTGACTTTTAGAATGATGAGCGGCACATATTATCTTTGATATCGTATGCTTTTTTTCTCTTCTTATCTATAGTGAACAAGAGTTTTAATAATCGAATGATCTTCGTGATCAAAATATATGTGTCAGGCAAAATTGAGCTTTAGGCAAAATTAAACATAATTCTTAAAAGATTTTCAAATTTAACACAATACAAAAAAAAAGAATAAATAATTGATTTTCTATATTTAAATTAAGTTCAGCCCCAGTTAAATTTAAATTTATCTAAATTTTCAAACTTAACAATTTACTCCGCGTTTTTAATGCAAATCTATATAATATTTTGTAAGATGTAGAGTACGCCACTTT